ATCATTTGGAATGGAAATTAGATAAAGTGATTTAAACATGACATGCTACTTAAGGAGGAATTCGGATAGTAAAAATATATAATGCACAAAATGGCATAATATGATATATAATTAGATGTGATATAAATTGGTATAATATGCATTAGAGATTATAAGCATAACTTAAAGTCTCCCCTCAATGTTTCACTTCTGGCAACTGGGGATGATAAAATTACATAATCTGGATTTATTGTGGCAATGGGGATTGACCTCAGGGCCTTTCCAGTGAGTTACATCCTAGCCATTTTTAATTTCTTATTTTGAGCCCAGACTGGGCTCACACTTGCCATCGCAGGATTATGAGATGCTACTGTGCCTGTTTAAGACAAACTTTCAGAGACAATGTCATGCAGAATATAGAAATAGATGTGTGGGACTCGTCATAGCAGCCACTGTGTACCATAGCATCAAAAGCAAGCAGTAATACTGGCAGCACATATAGTGTACATTTTTCTGTATCCACTGAGCAAATGCCACTTTATTGGCATGTGCTAGATGCAGTATAACAGATTAAGCACCATATAAATTGCTTTAGCTATGTTACTTGCTATGCCATGCAAAACCTTTACAAGAATACTTATGAGTTATTTCCATGTATTTTTATTTCCACTTCTCATATTTTAAAGGCAAATGTACCAAACCACAAGGTGCACCTGCTTCTATAGAACTATTTGACACAGTTGTTTCATACTCTGAAGTCTCTAAAGACATCAGCCCTTGTGCTGTGGGTGGGTGTAGGCACATCATATCTCTTTTATCCATCAAATAGGATGTACAGGTCAAGCCATCAGAGTCAACCAAACACCTGCAGTCTGTGTGATTTTCCTTCACTGAGGGTTTGGAGAAACAGTAGCTTTCCTCTATTCTATTTTGTATTGTTTCAAAAATAGTTATTAAATGTCACATAAATAAGTTTCTTGTTTGAGAGTTTTGAAGCTTTTTCTCAGTAAAAGGAAGATAAAAGATTGGCTCCTTCCTCAACAGTTAATATTTTTCAGGTGAGAAACCTAACTGCTGACTGTTGACTTTTGTATTTGGTGACATCTGGATTGTTTAGCTATACTCATTGGAGTGGTCTTCTTGGTTATGGAAGAAATTCTCAAATGGAAACTAGGAGGGATATATTCATCTGTTTTGCATAACAAAGAAAAGAGGTATATTCTCTTAGCACTTTGGGTGTCAGAACTCCACAGGGAGGTGCCCCTCTCTTGGACTCTGATGAAGACCTGGAGGCAGATGACATCACAATGGTCACCACACATAGGAAGATCATAGGTGACCCAGGAGCTCAGGTGGTTAAAGGCACAGGCTTGCTTTTCGGAAACCCTAACTTGCTCTTGTGGGACTCACTTCTTCTGAGGCCCCAGGCAGTTGCTCCAGGACCCCCTTCCTTTGTGCTGGGCCTCACTTGCAAGGACTCCATGGATCAAATTGCCGCATGGTCTCTGGGGACATACCCAGACCCCACCTACCCATGCACAGCAGCTGGCATCCATAGAGGCTTTGTGATTGTGTTGGGTGTGCAATAGGTGTGGCAAATCGGTCTGGTTGATTCTCTTTTTCACTTTTTTCTTGATACCAGGACTAAAACTCAAGACCTTGTGCTTGCAAGGCAGGCTTGTGCCACTGAGCTAAATCTCCAGCTCATTGCAAATGGTTCTGTATAATCAGGTGCAACCTTGTGAATTAGTAATTTGCCTTAATGAGAAATGGAAATGAAAAGTATGTGGAAGTAGCTCATAAAAAGGAGCAATAGCGAGATTGATATGTACACAAACATCTGAAGGTGGTATTCTGATGACAAAAGAAACACGAAGAACAAGAAATATCCTGGAGGTACTATCATGTAAAAGACCTATGGTGACAGAGAAAAGCAATGAGCTGTGTGTGGTATTGCACAACAGCTGCCCCAGGTTCTGAGCCGCCCTGGAAACATCACACTGTGAGGAGAAGGGACGGTGCCTCTTCACGGGGTAGACAATCACAACTGGGGTGAGGGGTGGTGCTCTGTCTGGGGTCTCACACGAGGAGTCATTCAGAATGGAAGAAGTGCAAAGGGGTGGTCAGGATGCTCCAGAGCAGACAGGACGGTGGTACAGAGGACAGCTGGAGAAAGACACACCTGGCATGGGGCAGCTAAGAGGAGGGGTGTGTGCAGCAACCCAGAGATTGTCAACCCTGGAGAAAGAGGGGTACGAACTGTGCAGCACTGGGTGAAGGGCTTCTGGTGAAAGCAATGTAGTGCGATTAAGGACAGGAGGGTGGAAGCAGCAGTCGCAAGACCCGTGCAAATGCCCGCTGAGCTTGGGGGCAGCAGAGGACCTCGGCATGCAGTTTCGTCTGCCAGGATTCTGAGCATTTCCTAAAAATCTCATGTATTGTTTCCCCCCTATTCCCTTTCCTCCTTCTAGTTTTATCCCTCTCATCTGAACCCTAAGTTCTGTGTTCCTTGGTGCCGATACCTTTTATGGATCATCTGTGGACTCCTGCCCACTTAAATATATGAGCTTTAAAATTTACGTTTCAGCCTTGAGGTAGCAATCATTTTGCAAGCACTGGAAGCAACTTTTTCCTCACAAATTTACCTTGTTTGGATCCATAGGGATTCCCTATTTTGAGATGCTATAGAATACATTTTTATAACTATAATTCCTCCTTGCTCTCTTAAAAATACCTTAAAGGTACAAGTCTCAGCAACTCATTTGAAGTGTTTTATCAGGACATCATTATTTCATTTAGTCTTGCTGGGCAAAAAAGTGTGTATTGATGTGAACTTTGAACCCGTTTGGCCACAAACTCTGTGAGTAAGATTCTATTTTTTCATCATGGAACAACTGCCTTCTTTTAGCAGAACAGCCTTAGTTCTGTGAAAGCCCTGTGTTTTAAACTTTATAACAAAAAGCTGCAGAGTGAAAATGGAGAGGTGTTCAGGAAAGCGAGAGGCTTTGTCCCTCCTGGATCACAAAAGCTTCTGAGAACAGAGGGTTCCAGGCGGCAGTGCTCCAGGAAGACCTGAGGGCCAGCATGAAGTCCTCAGACAGAGTGCTCAGTCCTGTAGGAGAAATGTTCTCAAAAGCAGGAGTTAAAATACTCCCTGTTCTTTGCAAAGCTGACAGCATTTCTAAGATGTGCGAATGGTGATGTGGGAGAATTCATCTCTCAACTACAAACAGAGGGATACATTTTAATAGATCTTATGCTTGCGAAAAAGATTAAATTTGCATCCAGGAAATTGCTTTTACCTCCTTTTTCCTATTTTCTTTTCATTTTTCTTCTTGAATTTCTGCTTAAGTTAATATTGGTAGGTGTGAGATAGATGTAGTTTTCATGATGTCATGTCACGCATGTGTCCTAGAAAGACAAGAGGCTGGTCTTTCTTGTTCTGTGGGGCCTGGGGTCTCTTCTGGCTTGTAGCGACTGAGAGCTGCCTGCTCCCAGGTGTAAGGATCGCTGCCAGTGCTCACCAGTGCCTGGTGTGGAATGTCTGAGCGGACAGGGCCCCTGGAAGTCCTCTACTGCACGGATAACAGCCAGAGGGGCAGATGCTCCTCCTGACTTCAGAGGGCAAACGCTTCTCTGAGCTGCACAAACATCTCCGTCTGACTCCAGTGCACTTCTGAAGAAACCGGTCAGCGGAGCATGAGCCTTGAAAGGTGTGCTAGGAATCACCGGGAGAGACAGTTTCATCACTGGGAGATGATCAGTCCTGATATACCATTATTCGTTTAGAAACAGGAGAAAACGCCTGAGTCCTGAAGGAATAGACACTGATCCATCAGTCTTTACTACGGCTATGAAGATGGAGAGAAGCACGGAGAATTAAAAGGAGACAAATGACATTGCAACCGTGCACTGACTACTGGTCTTTCACAGGGTTCTCTGAGAACGGTGAGATCCGACCCAGAAAGCACTAATGCGGAGGCGTAAGGGCCGAGCTCCAGTGTGTATTGAGGACTGACCTCAGACTGAGATGCCAAACATGTACATTTTGAAATTAGTGAAATAATGAAAATTAAGAGTTGCTATCCTAAGAATCAAAACTAGATTACAAATTAATTTTCTATACAAATGAAATATTATTTCTTTTTGAAATATACTTAAATTTTTAGATTTTGTAATTTCTCTACCTTGCTGCCTAGGGCAACATGTTCCTTAGCTCTTCTCAGGGAGCACAGGCAGTTAGCACACGCCCCAACAGACACCCCGAGACCTGTAAAAGGCCCACGCCCACGTTCTGGACACACTACAATGCTGGCGCTGCGACTGGCTACTTTCACGAGGGTGACACGGGAGAGCAGCTTTTCACGTCGAAAGATTTTAATAGAATCCCATAACCCGGACCAGCACATTCACGGAAAGCCAGGCCCCCGCTGGGGTTTGCCCGCCACGGACCCACCTAGTCCAAGCCTGCGCTGCCTCGCTTCCTGTTCCGGATGAGGAACAGAGGCACAGCACCAGCACCCCGCCTAAGCACACGCCGACCAGGCCCGTCGTCCAGCCAC